TATGGTTGGGACTCAACCATCCACTAATTCACCCCCCCCCCCCCCCCAAAACAAGGTGCTGTGCGTCGACAGCGGATTTGAAACGAGGAGGTTATGGATTTTGGAAGCTTAAATCAATAAAGGATAGTTAAAAATAAATAATTATAGAAAATAGTAAAATATAATTAAAAATAATCTCAAAAATAATTATAATAATCATAAGAAAAAAAAATCAAACTATTAGAATATTAATAATTATGGCAATTGTAAAAAAAATAATTTAAATAAATAATTATCATAATAATATATTAGGAAATATATATCTATATATTATGATAATAAATATTAATAATAGTAATGATTATAAAATAAAACTTAAACAGCAAAATAATAACTTAAACTAATAGTAATTAATATAAATAATTATTAAATAACAATATAATAATAATAATACTAAAATAATAATTTAAATAAAATAAAAATAAGGTTATTTTACTGTTTTAGTAATAATGAAAATACAGACAAAACGAGGTATTATACGTCAAAAACGGACAAAATAAATTTTTGAAGATTTCAGGTTTAAAATATGTTTAAAAATAAATTTAAAATCAATTTTTAATTTAAAAAAGTCGGCGGCGGCTGAGTGCGCCACGTGGCAGCGTCCTATGGGCTCTAGGAATGCGGGCCAATCATTGCGCCGCCAGCCAATGATTGCGGCGATCATGCCGCAATCATGGCCCGCGTACTGCGGCCACTTAGCCACGTCGGACGCGGCTCCGTGCCATCCGATCGTTTGTTGAAACGATCCAATGGCTGAGATCGTGCCGAACCGAGCGCCGAACGACGGGAGCAGATCCGCGGTTAGGAGAGATCGCGGGATCCCGTGATCAGAGCCGTTGATCTGGGAATCAACGGCTCAAACGGCGCGAAGGGCATACACAGCCCGTCTGACGCCCTATGGGTGTTTTTTGTCGATTTCTCTCGATTGAGTGAATGAAATCAAACAAAACTTTAGATCTAGGATCTAATAGCGAAGAGCATTCGTGGGGGATGAAAAACAGGGTCTAAAACGCACTTAATCAAATGCTAATTAACCTTATGTGTTCTAACTAGGGTTTAGGATTATACCGAAAATACTCGATGAAATCGAGGAATTTCTGGCTTGTTGCACTTGTCGACTGTCCACGCTCCTAGTTGTAGAAGAAATCACGAGCTCTCGACTCCTAGATCGCACGCAAAACAAACTGGAAGTTCCAAGCTCTCGGGTTCGCTGGAATCTCGTCGGCGGCGGCCTTGAACGGCCGGGATCTGGTCGGCGAAGGTGGGGAAACTCTCCAGGAACTCTCACCCGAAGTCTCAAATCGTTTTGAGGCTGGGTGCAAGAGATTTTGGAAAAAGATCTTAAATTGGACCTAATTTTTGGTATTTAAGGCTCCTAATCATATGATCAACGACTAGGATCAAGATCTCAGTGAATTAGGAGGGAAAAGGAGGGAATTAGGTTGTGGTTTTGAATTTTAAACGAAGGGGAATTGAATTAGGCAATAAATGGGCCTTAATTTCACTTAAATAGGTGATTAAGACCTATTAAGACCCATGGTTGACCAAGTCCACGTTTGAATTGGTCAAACCAGTCAAGTGGGGTCAAGGGGATAAGGGATTGAGCCATGAAATCAAAGAAATTAATTTAGAATTGACTTTAGGCTCAAAAGGGTTCAAATTGGTCAACCATGGTTGACTTGGTCAACTGGGTTGACCCAGGGTCCAAGTCAGGGCTCAACAGACTCGACTCGACTCACTGAACCCATTGGAGAGGGTCTTAGGGTTTGTCTGGGTCAATTTGACAAAGTCAAACTCTTTGACCGTGAATTTGGGCAAAATCAAGGTCAACATTAGGCAATGAACATAATGAAGAAGTTTCATTATTTGGCGGTAATGGGAAATGGCCCCATGATATCAATACCCACTACGCAAAAGGCTAAGTGCATTGGAAGGATGAGAGTTCTATTGCTAGTGTATGGAGGTTGGAATGGAATTGATAATTATCGCACTTTCTCATAAATTTAATTCATCTTACTTTATGGTGAGCCAATGGAACCTTTGTATGATCTTGAGGGTGAGGTCCCTTCTTCCTAGATGTTCTCCATGTATTCCTGAATGGACCTACCTTTGTGTTTAATCAACTTCTAATGGTGGGAGATATTGAGAAATGATCTAGACAATACCTATTTCTACAATTTTCACTGATGACGATAAATTTGGTTACTTCTTTTGGGAGGCATGTGTTAATAGTTGGGATTTAATCAATGTTCCATTTTTTAAGACAGATGTGAAGTGGTTGATCTAAGAGGGGCCTCTCCTAATTTATTAATGGATTGTATTACTCAATGACCTTAGAAGCTTGAAAAGTGTCTCTTTTATAAACCTTCTATTGGAAGGATCTCCAATCATTATTGTAGCAAGCCTAGATAGGGCATAAACTCAGGTGTTCTACTCCCATAATATGTGGACGATCTAATGTTTCTTTATATGAGTAAGAATCATCTTCACCAAGATATGCTTTTGTACTAGTTGTGAATTATGGGCATCAAAATCTCCATTAAACTAAGAATACACATGGTGAGAGTCGATACAAATCACCAGGTTCAAAATTTACATAAGACTTAGACTTGTAATCAAAGCTTTATACTTAGTGATGTCATTAATTGTAATAAATTTTAAGCAGGTATGTATTCTGAGGTGTTATATTACATGGAGACAAGCAAAATTTCAAACATAGCAAAAAAGATTCTTGAAGCCCTATAATGTATAATATCTAATGAGGAAATAAGGGAGGAACAATAAGTGGCTAAATAGATGCAAGGATGATTCATTTGACCATAAAAGCATTGTAACTTGCTACTTGATCTGGGAAAAAAATGGATGTCAAACTCCTTTACTTCCTCTGACCTATAGATTAATCTTTCAAATAACCTTATTTTTTTAAAAGAGTTTTTAATAAAAAATGGGTGTAGATATCAATGGTGCAGACTAGAAATATGATCATAATTTGTGAGCTAATAACATAAGGGTCAATGTTGTTTATTTACCAATAGGTGCCCCACTCTATTAGAAGGTTGTTATTAACATAATAAATAGTTCATTGAATCATAATCTTCTCTAGTGCTAAAAATGAGCTTATAATATAAGGAGAAATTGTTAGATTCAAGAATAATATCTCTCCTTAAATTGGTCTTAATAATTAAGGTGGTGAATTTAAGTATGTTCTAATTTACTCAAACGCCACCTGGCACTCACCTATCTATTGAAAACTCGTAGTATGAGCTCCCTTTAGTATATTGAAAAATGATAAATATTCATCTCCTAAGCAAGCTAAGAAGCGAGATAAAACTGTGATTCTCCATTTAGGCATTACACAACTTTAATATTTTTTAGGGCAATCATATCTTTAAGCACCTTGATCTTTTCAAGTTTGGCTTTAATCCCATGATAGGTGACCATGAATCTACATTTTTTTTTAATGTGACTCCAAAAGTACACTTGACCAACTTGAGATGCATATTTTAACATTAAAGAAAATGAAAATATTTTTTCAAATTAGTGATATGTTGTGAGTTTTTCAAGCTTTTCACCAATATTTCATCAACATATACGTCCATATTGCACCCTATAAGACCTTTGAATATCTTATTTTTGATACATAAATATGTAGCTCTGGCATTCTTCTACTCAGAAGGAATGAATTGGTAACAATATAACACTTTATACATGTTTAAAAGTAGTTGCCTTCTCATCCACATTATTAGCATTTATTTGATTATAATTAAAGTAAGCATCCATAAAACTCAGCATCTGATATTTAGATGTGGCTTCAATGAGTTGATCTATAAGACTGAGAGAAAATTTATCTTTTGGTCAAACTTTTGTAAGGCCGGTATAATCAACATGCATTCTCCAAACTACATTTGCCTTTTTAATGATGACAACATTTGCCAACAAAGTTAGTATATTGACACCTCTAGGATCAGAGTACTGTTCGAACCGATCTAATCCAACTAGAAGTCAATTAATCTATTGAATTTTGAACCCTTTCAAATGTGTTAAAAAATGATATGTGCATATGAAAAAGATCTGCATGTATTCTGAAGTGGGTTCCAAGAGTTTGAATGCATGTTTGTAAAATCTAAATTTTTTTCCTAAAGTGCCTGAATGCTCCAAGGAAATCACAGTTCAACATATTGAGTCCAAAGATCAACCAACTGATATTCCATCTCAATTTCAACTAATGCATCGCAAATTAACTCTCCAATATCAGGATACTTAATTTGAGGGGCGATGATAAACTATAAGATAAGCAAGCACCCATCACACCAAGTTTTCTCATATATTCTCTTCACATAGCAAAACTCAGTCCCCTTTTACAGAAGTTACACTGGCTACCAATTTGAAACTAAGTGCTCCCATATATACAAACATGTCTCAAGCTATATTTCTTATCAATGAAGCATATTCACAAAGATAATTCTTCTCTATTTTTCTATCTATTTTGTTATTCCATCTTTGCATCTTCTCGATTTTAGCTGATTGCATAACATATTTTAGGTTTTCTTAGCTAGAACAATACAATTTTGCTTGATGTTTTTTGAGGGTTAGTTCAGTACCTAATTTTTTAATATTTACGAAACTCATTGGGAGCTTTGATTATCATTTGAGTTTGAAGATTGTATATGTGATGTATATGATGTAATTTTAATTTGCTCAAAAGTTCAAAAATAAAAATAAAACCTTTTTATATTTTAAATATTAGATGAAAAACCGTGGGCAACAATTACGCGCCTTGTCTGCTTACAAATTCCAATCACCGACCGGTTACGGTACCTTCTTACCCATCGGAGTCACTGCGACCGGAACGTACTCCATTCATAGTCGAGAAGACGATGCGTCGATAAAGTTCCCGAAACACGGTTTCTTCACCCAACACCAAACCTCCTTCGCCTCCTTTCGGCTGCTCCGTCTTTATCCGCCAATTCGCCTCCGCAGCTATATAAAACATGCACTTCCGATTCGTTCCGCAATTCTCACATCTTTCTCTCTCAAACCCTAGCCCTATAGTTGTTTTGCCATCTTCTATCTTTAATGGAGTGGCCTGCATCTCCATCGCCACCGTCGCCGTCGCTAAAGCAGAAGATCCGGTCAGCTAACTGCTTCTCGTGCTGCTTCCGCACTTCGGAGGCCGGCGAGGATCAGCCAGTGGTGGGGCCGTCGTTGATCCGTTCGTCTTCGATGTGGATCAGATCGAAGGCCGGTGAACTTCCTGACATCAAGGAACGGTATCGATGGCTCATGGCGCGGAGCGGGAAATCGTCGCGCCGCGGAATCCGTGAGTTCAAGTACGACCCGCTAAGCTACGCTCTCAATTTCGACGAAGGGGGCGAAGAAGAGGCCGATGAAGCTGATGGGTTCCGATACCGTAACTTCTCCTCTCGCCTCCCAGCGACGCCTCTTCAGCCCGTCGCCGGCGTCACCTGTCGCTAGCAGCTGCAGACGTGTATCTATCTGTGTGTATAGCCCGCGATTTGAAATTTATGGTGTGGTTTTTGAGATCATTTGGATCCGGTACTTGTATTCTACTAATTCTCAAGAGGAAATTGGGAAGTTGTATGGGTTTGTTTCACACCAGATGTCTTTCTTTCTCCCTTCTTTATTTCCTGAACCCAAAAAAGTTGGGATACGTCCGATTCCTCCCTCGGCGCCGCGCCATGACTGCGTGGCGCTGCAACAGTCACCGGCTCATCACGCGGGGAAATGAGAAATATATTTCAAGAAAATAATATTTCAAAAAAATTAAAGATATTATATAATAAAATATAAAAATTTATGCAGTTTTAATGATAAATTGTGCCTTTCTTTTTCTTCATGAACTTTGTTTTTGTATGTGAATGACAGCACGCTTCTGCTGGAAATTGGACATATTAGGTCGGTCTGGCATTACATGACAGGTAAGAACCTTTGCTTCTGATGAAATTCAGGTGCTATTTGTCCATTTCCCCCATGAAGAGCTGAAGATTGCTTGCGGAGGTTAAACGTCGTGCTTAATTTGTTGTAGATTGGTAAGGTCTGATTAAGGAAAAATTATTACGCGCAGAGTTCTTACGTTGTTCAGACTCTAATAAGTTTTTTTTTTTTTAATACAGGTTGTGTACAAAAGAGAAAAAATTTAGATATTTTCACGTGATTGAAGTTTAGATGAAAAGCTGCGTCCCGACTCTACAAGTAATCTCTCCCAGCCGTTGGTTTTAGATGAGAAAATATTAAAAAAAAAAAGTATGAGAATATCTCAATAAAATATGAGTATGTATTTCAAAATTTTTAGAGAAAATTCCGTTAGAAGTGTTCTAATCAAAATTTTTTTCAATATAAAACTTGTTTGAAATAGATGCTACATCTTTTTATAAGGAATTAAGGATGATTATAAATATATTAGAAAAAAAATAAAATTTTAAAATTTATTATAAAAATAATTTTCTAACCCAAAAAAATTTAAAATTAATGAGAATTCACAATTAAAATAGAATTATAATTATAATTTAAAAATAAAAAAAGAAAAAATTTGTACTAAATAAATAAACCACAAATTCTAATTTTTTTAATTTTAGATATTTGAGCCATTAAGTTAAATTTATACGTATATCATACACATGAATTTTGAATACAATATCTCTTTATTAAGACTCTATTTGGGACGGCTTTCTTACTGCTTCTTAAAATAATTTTTTAGTATAAAAATTTAATTTTTTACTAGAAAGTTGTTTTAAGAAGCTGCAAGAAAGCCGCCCCAAACAAAGCCTAAATAGTCAAAGCCCCAACTTACAAACCAAAATGAGCTGCATAACTTTGTTGTAGAGGGTGGGCTAATAAAAAAGAGTAGTGGTAAAGACATTGTTATCACTACTCTGTGTATTTTTAACAACGTTATTAAAATCGGATCGGACCGGCCGGTTCAACCGGGTTAACCGCGAACCGGTTGGTCGGCCGGTTATGGGTTGCTTAAGAATCGCCACAGCAGAGAACCTGGCAAGAACCGTTTGAACCGCCGGTTAGACCGTCGAACCGGAAAATCGGTCTCATTTAAAAAAATCGGCCGGTTCGAGTAAAACCATTTTTTAGCCGACCGATTTAATCAAATGGCTTAGAGATAGGGGAGCTTATAAGTTATAACAAAACAAATACAAACCGTCAAACCCTATTCTCCTCATTTGTTCGCGATTCCTCCAGGCGTGCGACTCCTCTTAGACGGGACGAACGGAAGACTGACGGAAGGTGTTGTTTTGCCGGAGCGACGAAGCTGATCGAACTCATTAAAGGCTTCCTTCTCTTGGTCAAGTTCTTCACTCCTACCCACTGTGAGTTTTTTAATTTTCATGCACTTCTCCTTGCTCCTTTTTGCAACCGACGGTAGGTTGTGAATCTTGATGAGTTTTCTTGTTTGATGGTGGAAATTGAAATTTCACTCCTGTGTTTGTGTTTCAATGTTTCCTTTCCACCAAAATCTTTGTTTTTTTAGATTGGCAACCCTTTGGGTCATTTCATTGAGACAATCTTTGTTTTTTTTTTTTGGATTGGCAACTGCTTAGAGCAACGTTTTTAAGCCTTAGAGACATTTCACTGCATGCTTAATTTATGATTTTCCTAATGAGTAATATATGTGATGGCTATGTAAAAGTGATGTAGCTGTAGGGCATCTTAGGTTCCAAGTTAGGTTCTAGAATTTGGATCACTTAAGCATTTCTTAAAATTGTTCCTATTAAGGTTTCGTTTGGGACAGCTTTTTTCTGCTTCCTAAAGCGACTTTTTAGTACAAAAAAGAAAATTTTTATACTAAAAAGTTGCTTTGAGAAGTAATAAGAAAGCCGTCCCAAACGAAGCCTAAGTTCGTATGTAAATCACCTTCACCATTTCTCACATGCATTGTTTGGCTACAATTAGGATTTAGTAAACCATGTAAAATCATAGACAAATTTGAGAGTACTAAAATCTGAAAACTGTTTCACATTAAAATCATTAAATCTTGTTACATTTGATAAATTATTTGCATTTTTATTTTTGGAGGATTCAAGAATTATGAGAAGGAGAAATCATTGAATTCCTTAAATCATCCGGTGAATGGTGGTATTTAATAAATCCTAGGTTTAGGGTTTATTTATGATTTTAATAATATTATTATTTATTACATCATCCGGTTCGACCGGTCGAACCGTGAACCTCTCCTTCTTCCGGTCCTGTTTTCAAAACCTTGATTATTAAATCATGACTTGTATTGCTCATGAGTAGTGTTTTAAAATAGTATGATGATAAAATTGTTGATATGATCTGAAACTTTTTGACTCGAACATAGACTAGTTTTTTTATACCGATGAAAACATTTGATTTAGACTCAACTTGACTCGAACAAATCTAATTTGAACTCTATCTGCTAATTATATAGATTATAATTTTTTTTCATTAAACTTGGCTTACTTAACTAGAATAGAACGAGTTTAAACCTAATATGTCATGTTTAATTTGAACCTAAATAATAACTAGGTCAAATTTAAGTTGAAATTAGGATTTCGTGTCAATTTGAACCTGATTCTAAATTTAATTAGTCAAAAGTTTTAAATTTAAATCTAACATAATTTAATGAAGTCCACGAAAAAAATTATGTTGAGTTCATATCAGATTATCATAGTATTAGATCATTTTTTGATATTCCCATTCCTTGTTTTTCTAAACTTATGTAAACAGGTACTTAAAGCCTTAATATAAGATCAATTCATCTGTAAGAAATTAGAGGGATTGGAATAGAAGAAGGGCCAAATTTTCAAAAGAAACGTGTTTGACGTCGATTTTAGATTTTTTAGGGGAAAAAACGTGATTGGGAGATAATTTAAAATACAACAAATTTGAATAACAGTACGGCGCATTCAAAGAATGTGCTAGCCTGATTGGCGCATTCAAAGAATGAGCTGAACCTAATTGCACATTCGCCGAACGGTTCAGCGCATTCTTTGAATGAGCCTAACGCATCGGTGCATTTTGTGCATCCACTCCGCCTGCAATACTCCGAACAGTTTAAGGCGCATTCAACTCAGCTTGCATGCATTTTCATGCATTGAAGTTGATATATCATCAAAAATTTATCTTGATCGGGCACGAATCTCGATGCAAAATCAAGCCGGAACTTCAAAAATTAAATCCAAGATCACCTGAATTCCGATTTCAGCGAACTTACAATCAAACTGAGCATCTCAGAAATACGAACTCAACGACACTAGATTCGACTGAATTCGAGCCCAAATCAAGGACCCGAAGCACTGTTGGAAAGTTTGAACCACAATTTGAGTTACCAAATGATTTTCAAAGATAACGAGCTTATAGTCGAATTGAGCGACTCGACGAGACGAATCGAACGAGCACAAGATTGCCAAATTCCGACATCATTAAGACCATCAAATGTCTGACGAACGGTGGACAATCAAGGAATTCAATATCGTCCATCCATCCAATCACTCCCCATTTACCCCTGATCTCTCATCTATTTATGGGTCATGCCACTCCAAAAATCTATAAATAGACCCCTTATTTCTCTTGAGAGAGGGGGTCCAAGCAAGAACCAAGAAGAAGAAGACAAGAAGAAAAGAATGATATGAGGGAAAAAACTAATCCTCGACCACCACCGGAGTTCCGCCCGACGCCGAAACTCCACCCAAGCGATGCCGGAATTTTTCCCGACGCCCAAGTGATGTCGGAATTCCGCCCAACCTCTAACTGACGCCAGAATTCCGCCCGACCTCCAAGTGACGCCGGAGTTTCATCCGAACTCCAAGTGATGCCAGAATTCCGCCCGACATCCATGTGACGCCGAAATTCTGCCCGACCTCCAAATGACACCGGAGTTTCATCCGAACTCCAAGTGACGCCGGAATTCCGCCCGACCTTCAAGTGAAATCGAAACTCCGCCCAAGCGACGCCCGAATTCTGCCCGATGCCCAAGTGACGCCATAATTTTGCCCGACCTCCAAGTGACGCCGGAATTCCGCCCGACCTCCAAGTGATGCCGGAATTCCGCCCGACCTCCAAGTGACACCGGAGTTTCATCTAAACTCCAATTGACACGGGAATTCTGTCTGACCTCCAAGTAACGTAGGAGTTTCATCCGAACTCCAAGTGACGCCGTACCTTGCCCGACCTCCAAGGCTCAAAGGGACACCGAAACTCCGCCCAAGCGACGCCGGAATTCTGCCCGACCTTCAAGTGACGCCGGAATTCTTTCGGACCTCAATGTTACGCCGGAATTCTGCCCAACCTCCAAGTGAAGCCAGAATTTTGCCCGACCTCCAAGTGACGCCGGAATTCTGCCTGACCTCCAAGTGGGGCCAGAATTCTGCCCGACCTCCAAGTGACGCCGGAATTCCGCCCGACCTCCAAGTGACGCCGGATTTTCCCCCGAACTCCAAGTGATGTCGGAGTTCTGCTCAAATACTATCTAACACCGGAGTTCTCCTCGGTCGCCAACTGACGTATAACTTCTACCCGACGCCGGACCTCCGCTCGTCACCAAGATTCTTCCTGACGCCATCCTTCTGACCTTCATCCTCAGACAACAGTCCTTCTGA